ATTCTGCCCTGTCATCTTGAGACCTCAGGCATAGTCTTCCTCCCCAGGGCCCAGCATTGTCCAGCGGTGGACATCACGGCTGTGGACTTGGCCATCATGCAGATTCACCACGATGGGACCAACCGTCTCCTTCCCTTGTGTGTCAGGATATTTCCAGTTTTTCATTTTTATAAGCACATTTCAGTTTGTAAAACGGAATGTTTGCACACATCCCTGGTGATCTAAAGGTGTGATTCTACATTGTTTTGATTCACTTAAGTTTTAAGTACCGTACATGAAAATGTTGATTGCAATGATCCTTGATGGTATTATACAAGATTATTATTTTGTTTCTATACTTTTATGTTTCCTCTAAGTGCTTTGCGATGAACAGCTTTTATTTACATCACCAAGATATTATTTTAAATTATGCTGTGAAGAATTTCCATATTAGCCACAGTCTTCCTGGTAGCAACTTTGTATGGCTGCCTGTCATTCCAGGCAGGGAATAGGCCATAACTCACTTAACCATCTCCTATCCTTGGGCATCTGGGTTTTCCCTAGCGTTTTCAAAATCATTGTGCAGGAAACCACACCGTGTCTGGGGTTCTGGCCTTGTGGAGTAACCCAAGAAAGGCAGGCAAACCCACACCTGTGGCCTCGCCTGCCCAGCAGCTTCCCACTCCCCGTGGGAAAGCCTGTCCAGCCACCCTCCACTCTGGGAGGTGCTCTTGTCCCTTGAACAGTCGCTCCCCTGCCAGGAGGGCGCCAGAGAACAGGAAATAGTCTTGTCAGCGGTGCTAGCCCGATGACCCCAGATCCGGACCACAGGAGTGATTTTTAACGAGCTCGGTTCCCAGAACAGAACCTGCAGAGAAAAAAGAAAAGAAAGCAAGCAAGGGAAAAAAAAAAAAAACTCTCTGCTGGAAAAAAAAATACCAAGATTAAAATAATATTTGGCACTTACGTCGCACTTTTAAAATTCTTCAAACGCTTTATAAACACTAGCTAATTAATTAAGCCACCTAAATCTGGCTGCAGTTGGTGGAGAGAGCCTGAGAGGAGCTGAACGGAGCATGGGGAGGGAGGGCTGTGGGGGGCGGGGGAGCAGCCCTACCCAATTCCAGATTTTATTGTCGCCCGCCCCGGGTGTGATTACAGCCCCGGCCTGCTCTGACGTGCCGCACGCCGCCTTCTGCAGCCCCGCGTGCACGCTGCTCCCTCCCTGACTGCTGACTCACAGCCCGGTGCGGTGTTATTGATAAGGATAATAATAACTGAGCCAGGCTCCAGGCCTGCACCAGCTCCCGGATGTGCCAATATTAGCTCCATTTAACAGATGAAGAAAGCGGCTCAGAGAGGGGATTTGCCCAGGGTCACAGAGCAAATAAAATCCCTTCTTCATTCACTGATTAATGCATCCATTCAACATCTATTTCTTGAAGACCCAGTGTGTGCCAGACACTATTCTAGGCAGGAGGTGGGACCCAGCCCTTTGTGGATCCTTGGTCCCCGGAAGGGCACGGAGGGGGCTGTGAGAAGCCAGAGAAAATCAGATACACAAAGAATATAGCTATGTCCTAGTAATGGGATTAGGGAGCAACTTTAAAAAAAAAAATTATAAAACAGCAACAGAACGAAGTAGACAGACAAAGAGAGAGAGAGAGAGAGAGAGAGAGAGATCTTTCATTTGTTGGTTCATTCCCCAAATGGCCACATAGCCAGATCTGGGCAAAGCCAAAGCCAGCAGTCTGGAACTCCATCCTGGTCTCCCACGTGAATGGCAGGGGCCCAAATACTTGGGTCATCTGCTACCTTCCCAAGAAGTGTTAGCAGGGAGCTGGACTGGAGGTGGAGCAACCAGGACTCAGAGCCTGGGATGCCAGTGTTACAAACAGTGGCTTAATCCCCTGTGCCACAATGCCAGCCCCTAGGGACCCGCCTTTAACCAGCACCTGTGCGGCAGGTGCTTATGTATGGTTATGTCAGAGTCCTCAAGACTGCTGAGGCGCGTGCTGGTACCGCACTCTGGATGACGGCAGGGAGGCCCAGGGAATGGGAGTGCTCTTCTGGCTAAGGGGAGCTCGTACTCTTGCCCAGGCCTGCTGGCCCCAGCTGGCATTTCCAGTTCATCCGATCTGTCCTGCTCAAGTGCAGAGCCCCTGGGAGCGTTGCTGGCTTAATGCTGTTGGCAGCTGCTGCTGCTGCCTCTGATGTCCCTGGGTGGCTGCCTGCTCCTCTCACCCACTGGGCCACCAGCCCCACCCCTCTTGGGCTGGCTGACACCGCTGAGCCACTGCTCTCTGTGGAGCTGGGGTTTCTTCCCTGGTCCCTGCTGAGAATTGCACAATATTCAGGTTTGTTCTTAGAGACTCCCTTCATCTGCCAGGGGAACCCAGCCTGGAGAGTGAGCCCTGGCCGTGGGGAGGGGAAGAGGCAGGCCACCAGGTGGTGGACAAGGAACCTGTCCAGAGGCCCTGAGCTTGCCCACAGTGTGGGCAGTCTGAGTGATGGGCCTCCCTTCTCTTGGGTACTCTTTCCTGGCATGAGGGATGGTGCCAGTCCGCCAGCTGGTGAGCAGACTCTTGGGTATCTCTCTCTCCTGCCCGGCTAGAGCCAGAGAGGGATGCACAGGGCATCTGTGCAACTCTGCCTGATGCCAGACCAGGGTGACCCGGGGAGGGCAGGACAAGGGCACTTGGGGGCGGTCAGTGGAGAGCCCAGATGGGGACTGGGATCACCTGTCCCCCTGCATACCAGGCTGCGGCTCCGTCTTTTCTTCCTTCTCCCTGACTCTGTCTCCCTCTTTAACTGTGTTCCTCTGTCTCTGTCTCTGACTATGCCTCCATATCTGTGGGAAGGTGTCGTTTGGCCGAGAGTTGGCGTTTGTGCCATCATTATTCCCTAAACAGTGCTGTGTGACAGCTACTTACACGGCATTGACGTTGTATGAAGTATTCCAGGCACGTGCTGCGTAACGATGGTAGGGGGCATGCGGCCCAGGTGTGGGCTGTGCCAGCAGGCTTTGTGGACGCGCGCTCTGTGATGTCCCCACAGCTATGACACCGTCTAACTCTGTGCTTCTGACCGTGTCATCCCTGTTGTTGGGCAACATGGAGCTGTGGCCTAGGGACAGTTTGAGGTTTCCAGCAGGAGGTGTGGGCTCCATGCCAATACCATGCCCTTTCTTGCACGGGACCTGCGGGGGGCCTGGAACCTGCCCCCTTGGGGTCCCCAGGGACAGCTAGCTGTGTGTGTTTCCCCAGGGTTTTACCCCCATCCTTTCTTCTTCCCCCGATCCCTAGCTCGTTCAGAACTGGGGTCCTGGCTGAGCCTCGCTCTGAGATGCTTTCCCTTGGCCCCGAGCATCCCCACCACTTGTCCCACCTGGCCTCTCTCCCTGCCTGTGTCCTCCCCTTCAGCCCCACTTTGTCTCCCGGGGTCCCTCTCTGACCTGGCCCACGGTCTTCCATCATGGGGCTCAGGTCCCTTCCCATAGCTGACCTTTAGGACTGCTGCCAGCTGCTTAGCTGGGGAACCCTGGGGGCCTGGCTGGGTGCAGCTCCTGTGTCCCCAGCATCTGGCACAGGCCTGGCCTGCGAGGCGTCAGCAAGGGTGGGTGGGATGGAGTGTGAGCCACAGCCCTTCGTCCATTCATTGCCCGTATGATCACGACAGCCTGCGCTATGCCCAGCTCAGGGCCAAGGACCTCTTCTTCCTCCCCCTCCCCCTCCTCCTCCCTCCCCCCTCCCCCTTCCTCCTCCCCCTCTCCCTTTCTCCTCCTCTCCCTCCTACCCCCTTCCTCCCCCTTCCTCCTTCTCTATGCCTCTCCTCCCTTTCCCTCTCCCCTCCCTCTTTCCCCCTCCCTCTCCCCTTCCCCTTCCTCTTCTCCCTCCTACCTCCCTCCTCCCCTTCTTGCCCCACCCCCTCCTTTCCCCTCCTCCTGCCCTTCCTCCTTTTTTAAGATTGTATGTTTTTTGAAAGGCAAAGTTACAAAGATAGAGGGAGAAAGAGAGAGAGAGAGAGCTCTTCCATCCATTGGTTCACTCCCTAAATGGCCACAACAGCCAGGGCTGGGCCAGGCTGAAGCCAGGAGCCAGGAGCTTCCACCACATCTCCCAGATGGGTGGCAGGGGCCCAAGCACCATCTTCTGCTGCTTTCCCAGGCACATTAGCAGGGAGCCGGATTGCAAGTGGAGCAGCTGGGACTTGAACCAGTACCCATTTGGGACACTGGCATCGTAGCAATGGCTTTACCTGCTCCACTATGGTGTAGCCTAAGCCCCAACACATTTTCATTTCAGAACAAGACAGAGGGCTAGGGGATGTCACACCTATTTATAGATAGAGAAACCAAAGCTCAAAACCCATGTACAAACTAGGGTCACACGTGAGTAAGGGGTGAACTCAGTTTCAAACCAAGTCTGATGGCTCCAAAGACTGGACCCTTCTTTTTGACACTGTCCCTGGCACATTTGCTTCTAACACAGCTCCACAGAGATGGGCTCAGGGTAGCCGTGTCACAGATGGGGAAACCAAGGCTGCGAGCCCTAAAGGGACCCGTGCTTCCCTCTGTGTTGAGGGCCCTGACGTAAGTCACCCAAGAGGTGGCCTAGGTCTCACAGCTGTCAGCCGCCAAGCCTTGACTCAGGCCCACGTTCTGCTACTTCTCCACACACAAGGCTGCGCTCCGCTTCCCTGTTCAGGGCCTGCTTCCCGGGCCAGGCCAGAAACAGACTTGGGCCTTGGAGTGGCCGGGTGCAGCAGGCCGCCGCCTGCCTCTGTGCCTTTCTTTGCCCAGGCTGTTCCCGGGCCTCCTAATTGCTAATAAATTCAGATCTGAATTTCACAGCCCAGTGCAGACATGGTTCTTGCCTCAGTTTCCTCATCTCTGTCTCAGTCTCAGCACACAGGCCCGTGAGAGGGTTAAATGAGATGAGGTGCGGCGTGCTGAGCGCGTGCTATGTCAGTGAAGGCTTTGCTGACACACATGTGTAAGGTCTGTGTCTTTCCCCCGGCAGCGGCAGCACAGGAGAAGCTGCAGGTGACTCAGCCTGACCGGTGGGTGTCGGTGGCAGAGGGAGAAGCGGCCACTCTGCGCTGCACCATAAACACCCTGCTGCCCGTGGGGCCCATGAAGTGGTTCAGGGGGGCTGGGCCAGACCGGAAGATGATCTACAACTTCAAGGGAGACCAAGACCCCCGAGTCACAAACGTCTCAGACACCACAAAGCGAAACAACATGGACTTTTCCATCCGCATTCGTGACATCACCCCAGCTGACGCCGGCACCTACTACTGCGTCAAGTTCCAGAAGAAGGGTGCCGATGACGAGGAGTTTAAGTCTGGAGGAGGCACGCAGGTGTCTGTGAGTGGTGAGTACGCCGCGGGCCTGCGTGCTGTCTGCTGGGCGGTGCCTCGCCCGGCCCATGACACCCTGCGTTCTGTGGGCCCCAGAACCAGCGGCCGTGCGAGCGCTCACTTTCCCAGCCTGGTTTCCTCCCCTTCCACAGATGAGGACAGTCGAGGCTGCAGGGTCTGTGCTCCTGCTCAAGGCTGCGTGGCTGGGGGACGTCTGCACCCCCTCTGCAGCCGGCCCAGGCTTTGCCCCGCAGCGGGGGACGGCCAGTGGGAGGGACTGCGTCACTGGGCAGGCCCAGGCCTTGCATGCTGCCTCCAGGGGGTGCTGCCCCTCAGGATGGCCCCCTCGTCTCTGTGCAGCAGGCTCTTGTGCCAGCATACTCTGTGCCCCCGGACACTGTCACAGTGCACTCTGCCTGCAGGCCCTTGGTCCTGACACTGAGGCCCCCCAGGTGTCCCCTGCGACAAGGTCGCAGCTCACAAGAGCTCGAACTGGACTCGGGTCTGCCCACGCCCCGTGGAGTGCTCTGTCCTCAGGAACGCCCTGGGTGTGGAGGGCAAGGGGCAAGGGGGCTGCTGGGAGCAGACCAGGGGTGTGAGGAGGGGCCGGTAGTCCCCCTCAGACTGAGGCTCCGCGGCCTGTGGCTCCCAACCCCACACCGCCTCAGTGGCCTCTGCCTCCTGAGGTGAGAAGACCCCAGCAGCTCTCAGGACTCCCCTCCTGAAGGGCAGCCTCGGAAAGGGCAGGGAAACCCGCGGGCTCCACCCCCAGGTAGGACACAGCTCCGCCCCCGTGTCTGACAGGATCAGGACTGAGCACTGGCGTTTTCCTCAGGGAGTGCGCGCCCTGTGAGCGAGCCCCCAGCAGGAGCCCCCGGCTTCCCCTCTCGTCCAGGGTCTCCAGGCCGGGCACCCAGGAGGGCTTCCCGCTAGAGTTGCTTGGAGTCAACAAATCTTCCTCCGGGGCACCGGCTCCAGAGGGCCCTGGGAACGTGGCAGGTGTGTGGGGGGGAGGGGGAGTGAGAGAAGTGTCCAGGGGCTGCAGTGAGGGTGAGGACACAGGGCCTTGGTTTCCGTCAGCCTCAGTGTTCACATCTTTAAAATGGTGGCAGTCGGGGCACCTCTGGGAGACGCAGAAGGAAATCACGCAGCCCGGAGCAGGCACTGGGCGTCAAGGGCTGCTTCCAGGGTCTGTGATGTGGGCTTGGCCAGGGAGTGCGATCCCGGGCCAGGCCTGGCTTCCCCGCAGTCCTGTTCCCCACCTGTGAGACGGGGATGATCATAGCCCCGATGGGTTCTGCGAGGCCTGCAGAGGACAAGCTCAGAGCCCTGGTCACTGGGCTCGGGACTGTCCCCGTGCGTCAGTAGTGCAGTGGCCAGGAGAGTGCGCTGTAGCCCACCTGCCCAGGCCCGCCTGGCTGTGCCCCAGCACACGGTGCTCCCCCAGGGGCCTCGGGGTCTCCCTGGCACCCTGCCCCCAGCAGAGCAGGGCTGAGCCGAGTCCTGTGAGGAGCTGAGAGCAGCGCCAGGGGCCGGGGTGCTGGATAATGGAGATTGAGGCTGCGGCCAGGCCACGTGACCTTGGATGGTCACTTCTTCTCCAAGCCCCGGATGGACACAGGGTCTGGGTGGGTTCAGGTGGCTCCTTGGAATCACCTGGGACACTGAGCAAAGTCCCAGATCCAGGCTCGGCCTGGACATTCCAACAGAACCCACCTGCTGAGGTCCTGGGCAGATGATGTCTTAATTCTGCCGGAAGATGCTGAAACAGGACCAAGGCCCCAAAGCCCAGAGCGAGCCTGAGGCCACAGAGGAGCAGTGGGGTTTTCCCTGCACAGGTGGCCCCTGGGACTGGGGTGAGAACAGCTGTGAGGGTGCGGATGCTTCAGAACAGCAGGAGCCTGGGCAGCCCTCGTGAGCCCCAGAGACCTGGTAGGACCCCTCCCACACACATCCCAGATACACTGAGCTAGATCCAGTCTCAGCATCTGAAACCTGCCTGTGTCTAAACAGCGAGGGCCCTCAGGTCCTGGCCTGCAGCCACAGACCCTCCCTCCTGCACAGCCCTCAGGTCCCTGAGGTCCACCCCTGCTATCCGCAGGCTTCCAGTGCCCGGCAGTTGCACACCCGAGACACCTGTGGTCTTGCTGGGGCTTTGCAAGCCCACTCGCCAGGCTCCTCTCCTGGGGATCATTAAGGGGAGGGGGCGCGACCTCCCTGGGTGATTTCTTCTCCTGTGCCCATTTGGGTTTTGTGGCTGCTGCTGGGGCCGGATTTGAACGCTGCTAGGAGCCTTTGCTTGCGCCCAGCCTGCTGCCCGCCACCGAACACACCTGCAGAACCAGGTTCAGAACCAGGAATGAGCAGGGCACCGGTGCACAGTCACGGGTGCTACTTATTCAGCACCTACTGTCTGCCAGTCTCTGACTTGCATCCCTCCTCACTCCTTCTCACTAGGGTGGTAATGTTATCTGATTTAGACAGAGATTTGGGGCTCTGAAAAGATAAGAATGGGGTTGCTAAGATCAGCCTGTGTGGGGTGGGATGGGCCCCGCCCTTTACCAGCTGTGTGCCCTTGGCCAGCCACTGCCTCCTTGAGTCTCCACGGGCACCCACCTCATGGGGCTGCTGGGCTCCCAAGACCCCCCTCACAAATGGTGATAGTCTGGGGGGATTCATTCCAGGACCCCCAAAGTTAGCAAAATCTGCAGATGCTCCGATCGTTTTGCCCGTAGCCTATGTGCATCCTCCCAGAGATTTTAAATCATCTCCGGCTTACTTCTAAGCCCCATTACAATGTAATGCTATGGAAATCACTGGTATACTGTATTGTTCGGGGAATAGTGACAAGAAAAAGAAGTCTGCTTGTTTAGTACAATTTTGTTCCTGAGATCAGTTTGATCCGTAGTCAGTGGAGTCCGTAGACGGGGAATCTCAGATCCTGAGCGTTGACTGCAGTGCCCGTTGTCCACAAAGGGACGTCTGGGCTGCTGGGGTCTTGATGACTTGATTGATCAAGTAACACCCTCTTTAAAAACAAACTTAAATTTATTTGAAAGGCTTAGTGAATGTCAGAGACTGAGATAGAAGGACATCTTCCATCTGCTGGTTCACTTACCGAATAGCCTCAGTGGCCAGGTCTGTGCCAGGCCAAAGTCAGGAGTCAGGAGCTTCATCCAGGTCTCCCACGTGGGTGGCAGGGACCCAAGCACTTGGGCCATCTTCTGCTGCTTTCCCAGGCGCATTAGCAGGGAGCTGCATTGGAAGCAGAGGAGCCAGGACTCTAACTGGCGCCCTGATAGGGGACGCTGGTGGTGCAGGTGGCAGCTTAACACGCTGTGCCACAGCGCTGGCCTCAGCACCCTCTTTATGATTCAAAATATGTGATGGGTGTTGGGGAGCAGGTTGAATACTCACAGGAGCAAACACCTGTGTCCCCTGTGGCCTGACCTCTCCCACATAAAAGCTGGGTGTGATCTTAGCACTTTGGAGACCCCCGCAGGAGCTGGCTACAGGGAGGGGCTGCCCTGGCTCTTCTGCCTCACCCCGTGTGTGCTTGCGGGAGGTGCTTCTGCCGGCTCGGGGGCTGTGCCTGCGTCTCCTGGAGCTCAGGAGCCACTGGGAAATTAACCGCCTTGGCTGTCTCGGCACTCAGTGATCTTTGTTCGCAGTCCACAGCGGGCTCCGCAGAAGACCCCTTGCCCTTCTCCCCTCTCAGGGAGGCCCAGGCACAGATTGGGCCCTGCTGGAATGTTTGTGGGAGATGCAGAGTAGACTCGCTACTCCCCGGAGGGAGAGCTCTGGATAGAAGCAGACCCAGGCTCAAGGGAGAGACCCGTGACGTTTGTTTCTGTGGCGCACCTTGGGTGCCGTCTCCAAAGCCTTGGCTTCGTGTAACTCTCGATGCAAGTCTGGAGGAGAAACGCCTGCCGTCCCATTTCTCAGAGGCCAGCGGGGTGTGTCAGGTCCACCTCCTGGTCCTGGTCGTCCCGGGTCCAGCTGTGAGGGCGGTGAGACTGCCCAGTGCCCCCTGCATCTGCTTCTAGAAACACTTTGAGGTTTGCAAGGTTTCCTGGGGAGGCCGCTGCTGGGAAGAGTTAGCACAGAGGAGAGGGCAGCTGTGATTCTGTTCCTGGGCAGGGCTGGAGGGAGTAGGCCTTGCAGAGGACTTGAACTCAGACTTGGGAGTGCCCCTGTGCGTGCCCTGCCTGTCACTCACTGTCTGGCCTTGGGAGACTCCGTGACCCCCTCTGTCCCCCCAGCATGATTAGAAAGATTGACGTGACGTGAGTGAGACTGCCTGTTGCCAGGTCATCATGATCCTCTTTCTTGTCTGAATGCTCCTTTTGTAGCCAAGCCCTCCACCCCGAAGGTGTCGGGGCCTGGGGCGAGGTCCACCCCGGAGCAGACAGTGGACTTCACGTGTGAGTCCCACGGCTTCTCCCCCCGCAACATCAGCCTGAAATGGTTCAAAAACGGGAACGAGCTCCCGGCCTTCCAGACCAGCGTGTACCCCGCGGGAGAAAGCGTCTCCTACAACGTCACCAGCACCGTCAAGGTGGCCCTGGCTTCCAGCGATGTGCACTCCCAGGTCATCTGCGAGGTGGCCCACATCACCCTGCAGGGAGGCTCCCCTCTCCGTGGGACTGCCAACTTGTCTGAGACCATCCGAGGTAGACGACCGCACCCCCACCCACGCCCACACCTGGCTGCCGTGCCTGCCCCTGCTGGCTTTGCTCTGGGGCCTGAGTTGCTGCCTCTAATTCCCAGCAGCCCTGCCCACTGGCCCCGTACCAGTCCACCCCAGTGGCTGGCATGCCAGTCTCTGTCCTTTGAGTGGCAGCTGCCGGGTGAAGCCTGGTTGCACGCCAAGTGCTGTGCCAGTTACTCCTCTCATTCTACCATTCCAGAATATTCTGCAGGTGCTGAGCACCTGTGTGAGCCAAGCCCCTGTCTCTGCAGTGGCCACGTTCCTCCTGCATCCAGGGTTTGGGCTTGTTGATTTCACTCGCTGCTACCCTTAGGGAGCTCCCTGTCTCGAGCACCGCCTGTGTGCTGGGCACCATGTTTAGTGATGTCACGCATGTGCAGAGTCCCCCTCCATGCTGAGTGCCTGCTGCATGCCTGGCCCTGTCGCGGGGGTGCCCTGGCCCTGGTGGTGGGAGCCGAGTTACTCGGCCCCTCCTCCAGGATCTGCCTGTCCCGCAAGCTCAGAGCTTCTGCCCTGCTGTTTCAGTTCCCCCCACTGTGGAGGTCACACAGCAGCCCATGGGGGCAGGGACCCAGGTGAACGTCACCTGCCACGTGGACAAGTTCTACCCCCGGGACATGCAGCTGAGCTGGCTGGAGAATGGAAACGTGTCCCGGACAGAGACGGCTTGGACCCTGGTGGAGAACAAGGACGGGACCTACAACCGCACGAGCTGGCTCCTGGTGAACTCCTCCGCCCACAGGGAAGATGTGGTGCTGTCCTGCCAGGTGGAGCATGACGGGCAGCCAGCGGTCACCAGAAGCCACACCCTGCAGGTCTCTGCCCCGCCCAAGGAGCAGGGCACAGACACCAGCCTTGGTGAGGCCGCCCCTCCAACTGGCCTGGCTCTTTTGAAATGTTATCTTAACGTAACCCCCCCTTTTTTTTTTAACGTTACAAGTAGTAGCCATGCATATTATAGCATTATCTGGACATCTGTAAACATTGAACAGGTTTTTTTTTTTTTTAATTTTGTTTGAAAGATTTATTTATTTTATTTTAAAGGCAGAGTTACAGAGAGGCAGAGGCAAAGAGAGTGAGGGAAAAATCTTCCATCTGTTGGTTTACTCCCCAAATGGCTTCAGTGGCTGGAGCTGAGCTAATCTGAAAGCTGGAGCCAGGAGCTTCTTCCAGGTCTCCCATGTAGGTGCAGGGGCCCAAGCACTTGAGCCATCTTCTGCTGCTTTCCTAGGCCATAGCAGAGAACTGGACCAGAAGTGGAGCAGCTGGGACTCGAACCAGCACCTATATGAGATGCTGGCACTGCATGCGGCAGCTTTACCCACAGTGCCAGCCCCTGAGTAGAATTTCAAAGTTGGCTCACTCCTCCAAATCCCATACTCCAAGGGTTATTACTGCTGTGAGTTTGGGACATGTCGATATGTCATAATGAACCTTCTGCCATCAGCAGCTGTCAAAACCAGGGGTGGGGGTGTCCATTCTGTTCCTGGGGTCCTGCCGCCTGCCCTTTCTACCTGACAGTTGTTCCTTCCTCTGTGCCTCCATGCTCTCTGTAACCTCTGCCAGCTCTCTTGGGTCCCGCTGCAGGCCTGCCCCCTGGGAGGGGGGCGGGGCACTGCTTGTAGCCATGTGCATCCTTGTACAGATCCCATGCCACGTGCCGGCAGCTCTGTGGGATACACTTCCTCGCCACAGCGAGGCCACTCTCCCAGAGAGAAAGTGGGCGTCAGGGTGTCATTTTCTCAGCCCCCCTCCCAGGCGTTATCAGCACACCTGGGTTCAAGAAGTTTGTGCCATGTGGTGTTAACAGCTAAGTTTCTTTGGGCGCAAATCATTTTGAAATCCATGCATAGAGTGAGTCTTCCAAAAGTTCGTGGAAACGTAGACCATGAAAAGGCTATGCCTGGATTTCAAATAAACATATCTTTAATTCCATTTTTTTCCATCAATCTGGTGAGGTACCCTCGAATTCCTCATGCAAACATTAGCAGCCGGTTGGACTTTGCCACCGTGCCTGGCTGAGGGCTGTGCGTGGCACAACCTTGACAGTGGACTTGCAATAGACATTTCCTGCCTTCGTGCATCCTTTGTGGAGACCCTGAAGCAGCCCTCTGATGTTCTCAGTGCCTGCAGTGGGAGATGGGATGTTGGGTTTCAACTCTGTCTCTGCTGCAGGCTTGCTGTGTATCTTCAGGGGAAGTCAGTGTGTCTCTCTGGGCCTTGGCTTGCTCGGGGCTGTGTGGTAGGAGCTGAGCTTCCTGACGCCCTTGGCTCTGAGTCTCAGCTGCTGGGGGCTTTGCCTGTTGTGTTCAGCACCCATAGCTCAGGACCTGGCACATAGTAGGCACAACATAAATACTGGGAAGGACCAAAGAGGGGGTTAACTAGATAATCCTCCCAGCTATCCAATAAGGCAGCGATTGTTGTCAGCCTCAGTAACCAAAGAGGAAGCAGGCAGGGGGAGGAAGGTGCAAGGTTTGCCCAGTGTCATAGGAACAGTTCGGGCCATGGTTCCACTTTAGGATCTGTTGCCCTGGGGCAGGCCAAGCTTCTGTTTCCAACTCAGTGGTCCTGATGCAGAGCTCCTGTGCCGACTCCCAAACCCCGCACACGTGGCCCAAGTCCCAGTACAGGGCCGTGGTCAGCCCGTGTGAACTCCACAGGGTCCAGTAGCCCATGGCCAGGCACCGTTCCCCTCTGCCCCTTCCTCCCCGCCACCCCCCTTTCCTGTGCAACACCTGCTTACTCAGGTCTCAGCTGGCTGCCCGCTGTCCCTGCGGTGGCCGCTCTGTGGTTTTCTCCAGGTGAGAAGGAACAGGTTTCTGGTTCCTCAGGAGGCAGATTCCTGCCCGCATCCCACGTCCCGGCTTGCTGTGAGGCTGGCAGCCGCCAACCTTTGCCATGTTGCTCCTCAGCACGGGTCATGTGCTCTTGTGGGTGATGCGGGTGGGCACGCATGTGCAGCCCCTGTGCGTGTGCAGCCCCAGCTACCAGGTGCTGGCAGTGAGTGAGGCCTGCATGGTGGTGGTCAGGAGCAGCGGGCTCTGCTGTTCTCTGTTGTTGATCTGCACACCTGAAGCCTCTTCTCCGTGTGGTCCCCAGACCAGGCTGACAACTGGAATGTCTTTATCGTGGTGGGTGTGGTGTGCGCCCTGCTGGTGGTCCTGCTGATGGCGGCTCTCTACCTCCTCCGACTCAGACAGAAGAAAGGTGGGTGCTCCCCTCTTCCTCCTGGGAGTCCCCCCGACCCCCACCGCGGGCTGTCCTGTTCAGAGGCAGAGGCCACAGGCTGCTTGGGGCATGGGTGACTTCCAGAGACAGTGATGCCAGAGCTGGCTCCCCAGCCTCACCATGTTGGAGTCTGGATGGGTCTCCCCATCCCTGCTCGCCTCCCCAGCTCCCATCCCAACCCAAGAGGTAAAGCGGGGAGATGCTGGGCAGCACCAGGGGACCTGGAGATCCTTCCTGCCCGATTCAGGAAGAAGCAGGCTTTGCCAGGAGCCACCTGGCAAATGTCCACTGGGCTCTCCCATGTGCAGGGGAGAGGCCCGGCTCCTGGACTGGAAGCTGAGCGGGAGTGGGGCTGAGATCTCCGCCTCCCTCCAGGGTGGTTGGGAGCACTCACCAAATGGATGTCAAATGTTAGCAAAGGGCCTGGCACACAACAAGTGCTCAGTCAGTGTCCACGCCTATGAGTACTGTTTGTGAGCCCAGAAACATGAGCCCCCTGCCTGGAAGGCCTCTCACAGGAGCAAGGTGCATGGCCTCTGATTCCCCAGCAGGAGGACACTGCCTCCAACCTAGGATGGCTTCCCCTTGTGTGTGTGTGTGAGTGTGTGCATGTGTGTAGCGGGGTATTCCTGTGGCAAGGCATCTGGCATTGAAGTCAGGTAAACCAGGCTTCCAGACCCATGTATATCCTCTACACAATGGGTTCAGCCTCCACAAGCCTGTTGGATCATCTGTAAAATGGGTTTAGCAGTATCTGTCTGGGAGGATAGTCATGAAACCCAAATTAGCTCTGGTGAAATCACAGAGCAGACTCATTCCAGGACCTCACTTATGTTGTCCCTCTTCCTTACCCTTGTGGGAGATGATTTTAACCTGGTTTTTCTGAAACTACTTTTTAACCACATGTTATACAAATACATTTTTTAAAAGATTTATTTATTTATTTGAAAGGCAGGGTTACAGAGAGGCAGAGAGAGAGAGAGAGAGAGAGAGAGGTCTTCCATCCCCTGGTTCATTCCCCAAGTAGCCGCAACGGCCAGAGCTGGGCCAATCCAAAGCCAGGACTCCGGAGCTTCTTCCAGGTCTCCCACCTGGGTGCAGGGGCACAAGGACTTGGGCCATCTTCTGCTGCTGTCCCAGGCCATAGCAGAGAGCGGGATTGGAAGTGGAGTATCCAGGGCTGGAACCAGCGCCCATAATGGGATGCCGGCACTGAAGGCGGTGGCTTTACCTGCTATGCTACAGTGCCAGCCCCCAAATACATGTTATATTTGAATGCAGCACACAAGCTTGTGTGCACCACAAGCCACAGCCACAGTGACAAGTGCTGGCCCCAGCTGTCTTTCTGCGGCCGGCAGGGCTCACACAGGTGTGCCATGCATCGTCACATGACCCTGCTGCACCCTCCAGCTGTGCCCCCACCACCACTGGGTCTCCCTCCCTCGAGCTGGCTGGCAGGACTCTGCCCTGAGAGCCTGGCTGAGCCCTAAGCTTCTGTCTGAAGGCTGGAGGCAGGCCCACCTCTGCAGAATGCTCCAGCTGTTCTGCTCTGGAGTCCCTGGGGACACACAGGAGGGACTCCTCCCAGGGCAGGAAGCAGGTCCCTCTGGCACCGAGTGAGCTGGAGCACTTGGGACATCTGTGGAACCCTAGCCATCCTTTCCGAGGCTCAGCCCCAGGCCCCGCGCCAGGCTCCTGGAGCATGTGAGCTGTTCGCTGTGGGTTTAGGCATCAGCACCCCAGTGTTGCAGAAGAGGACTGGGGGTCAGGAGAGCTGCAGGGATCGGGGAAGCCCATGTAGCCCTTGAGTGGCAGGTCTGTGTGCAGAGCCCAGCTCTCATGGGGATGTGACAGTGATGTGTGGTGACAGCCAGCACTCATTCAGCACCTCCCATGTGTGCACACTGCTCAGGTGCTGGCTTTGCCTGTACTAACACAGATGGTCCTCACCCCTGACCTTGAGGCGGTAAACCTAACCCCATTTTAAAGATGAGGAGACTGAGGTGTGGAAAAGTTAGAGAGTTACTCAGCACCTCAGCTGGTAAGTGGTGGGGCCAGAACTCAGAACCAGGGACTCTCTTCGTGAGCACCTGCACCCCACCTCCCTCTACCCTGACAAGACGCCCCTGGAAGAGTCTGCCCTGTGATGTGAAATGTCCTGCCTTCAGCTCTTACCACTTGCCAGCCTGGAGGTCACCAGTTTCTCTGCTGTAGAATGGGGGAGCGGGGTAGTCAGCATTCCCTCCCTGGATTACAGAAAGGACTAATGCCCCAGCACTAGCAACCTGTTGATCTCCATTCAGATGTTGGAAGGTGGACCTGGCCTTCCTAGCTGGTACCCCCACTCACCTGTAGATCCAGGTCCGTCCTTGGGCACAGGTGCTGACGAGCAGTGTGAAGCCCTGTATTGTGGCAGCCTGAAGCCTGTTACGTACAGCGTAGAGTGGATTTGAGTGTGTGTTGCTTTTTCGCGACAGTTGCACAGAAAAGTGGGCGTCAAGTGACAAAGCACCCCAGGCTGCTCTTTGGGGTACCCCCTGTCCCAGGCGCTAAGCCTCTGAACCAGGCCAGTGCTTGCTCTCTTGGGAAGTGGTGGGATGTACATCAACGGATGCCCAGCCCACCCCTGCAAGATCTAGAAGCTCAGAGAGGGGTCGTGACCCACTCTGGGACACCCAGCAAGTGAGGAGGTGGAGGCCTGAGGGTCCTAGCTGCTCCCTGACTTCCAGCCCTGCTAGAATCTGCTCTCCAGCAGGGAGGAGCCTCCACTGGGCCCTGGGCATGCTGAGGCTCTGCCACAGAGTGTGCGACTGCATGGAAGGTGCAGCTACTGCAGACTCCTGGGTGACGCCCAGAAGTGGGGCAGCAGCAGGGCCTGGCCTGGTCCCTGTAGGCTTCCTCATTGGAAGGAAGGGACCACCCGCTGGGTTCCAGGGGTCTGCTTTCTACCCTTCCTTTGCCCTCACAGAGAGTCCCACAGGAGAGATGTGTTCCTGGGTGAACAACTGACCTCTGTTTCTTTTCTCTTGCAGCCAAGGGCTCCACTTCTTCGACAAGGTGGGTGCACTGCCCCTGGCCCGGGCACTGGTTGTCTGGTACCCCCATTCCCCTGAACGGCTGCGTGTCATCCACTGCCCCCGTCCCTCACGTGTGTCTGAACACTTCTGTCTCCTTCCCCTGGCCCTCTCTATGTCAGGGCCGTCTTAATTCCCAAAGGGTTATAGGCACCGCAGCGTGGCTTCCTTGCTTGCTGGCCCCAAGCAGCGAGGCCCTCATCTGCTCCCATCTGGACCTTGGCAGAAGCCCCTGAGTAGACACATCGTGCACGCCACCAGGCTCCTGCACCCACCTCTGAGCCGTACGCTTGGCTCTTTGTTCCCTTCAGTAAGTTTGTGTGGAGCACCGTGGCTGGGCAGCCCTGGGCATGCCGGGGTGCCAAGGAGAGGAACAGTGCCAGAGTGTGCACCTGCTCACCTGCACTTCCTTCTGAGCTCACCGAGGGCGTTACCTTCCCCAGGGTCAGGGGCTTCCCGTGAGCCCTCCTGGGGCCCCTCGGGGGGGGTCTCTGCACCTGTCTCCTGTTATAACTCCGCCCTCTTCAGGTCCACGACCATGTCCGTCTCGTTCAAACTCCACGGCACCTGTGCCTGGAATGGGATTAGGCCCTCAGTAAAGGTTGAAATAACAAATGTATGAATGCAGGCCTAAGGGCCACCCCTAACCACTGGGGCAGTCCTTTGCCTCTTCCTTCTCTGACTCCCGGGAACTCCATCAGTGGGAGGGCTCTGTCTTTGGTTTGGTTTTGGCTGTTGTCGTTATGTTTCACCTGTCTTAGCTCCCCCACTTAGACAGTTTTCTGGAAACAAAGGGCAGGGTCAGTCATCCCTGTGACAGCAGCACAGCCCCATTGGTGGAGAACTGTGGCCCCTGTCCTCCCAGTGCCTGACTCTCATGCTTGCCAAGACCCCGTGATGAGCACTGTCCTTACTGTGTAGAGCTTGGGCTTGAGTGCATGGTGAACCCCGGGCAGGCTGGCTCAGACCCAGGGTGCCAGGCTGTACCCCTGAAGCTCTGGGTCAGGCTTTGTAGTTCCGGCAAGTTTAACAGCCAAGGCTGCTGTTTCCAAACCACGCTCCGAGAACCCCGTTCTGCACAGTTGTTACTGTCCCTGTGATGTGATTGGAGACACAGGCTCAGGGTCATCCCTGCACCCCAGCTGCAGCCCCGGTCTCTGGCACGAGCGCCAGCGCTCTTGCTGCAGCTCTGCGGCCGCCTGTGCCTCTGCTGTTGCTGTTTTCCGCTCGGGTTTTATTTTTCCGGCGTGAGTCTGCCGAGGGAGCCGTGGGATCACTCTCTCCCTTTCATGTCTCTCAGCCAAAGCGAGCGCGAGTGGTTTCCCGTGCGGCGGCTGGCCTCAGCTTCAGCTCACTGCGATCAGACGCTTCCAAGGGCCCTGGCGTGGGGAACAGCCGTGCGCCCAGCACGTGTGCAACGCGGGGAGGCCGCCGCTTTGAGCTCAGAGGACCCTCCAGGTGGCAGGGCCGGCGGAAGGCCTGGCTCTTTCTGACTTCCTGGGCTCCAAATGCATGGGCAACGTGTGGCCTGTCACTGTCCCAGCTCAGATGAGAGGCAACTGTGTCCCCACTCCCTTAATTGGGCGCTGGGTGCAAACGGCCGACCACGTGCTCTCTCGTCGGATGTTTGCTGCATTTATTCTTGGAATATTTAGGGACTCCTGATGCTTTCCTTTGTTCGTCTTCCTTGAGCCCAGCTGAGTGCAGGGCCTTGAGCAGGGCGATTGCCAAGGGGAACAGGAAAGAAGCTAACCCTGGTCACCTGACCCTTAGGAGCCAGCGAGAGGTGCGGTCACTCATTCATTCCACAGAGGCTTTAGTGGGCCAGCCCTGTGTCAGGTGTTGTGGCTTCAGTTGTGAGTGAGGCCTTGTCCCTCCCCCTGTGGGGGAGGGTCCCCGGTCCCCGGGGGGAGGCCAGATACAGAAGAAGCTGGAAGGTTCAAGAACGATATGATGCAGGGGCTGCCAAAGCCGCTTACAGGACAAGGGGAACAGGGAGGTGGGGCAATCCGGGAAGGCTTGGCTGAGGAAGACGCACTTAGAAGGCAGCTGAAGGGTGAACAACTCCAGCAACGCTGCTATCTGGGGCAGGAGTAGACCAGACAGAGGGAAGAGCCAGTGCCAAGGGCCTGAGGCAGGGACAGTTGGACAAGGACACAGAACATAAGGAGGCCATGGCGGAGCCCAGAGAGGGAGGGGGAGAGAGGAGCAGTGGGCGGGAGCTGACCTTGCTGGGCCTCACCATTTAGGAGGGAGCCGGAATTCTCTGTGTGGTGAGGAAGGGCTGAGCTTTCTGGTGAGATAAGGTGACCCTACTCCTGCATTTCAAATGTGGGTTGCGGAGGGACAGGAATGGAGGCAGAGCGGCCAGGAGGAGCCTGGGGACCCGAGCTGGTGGGGCTGGCTGAGGCTGACCTTGTGTTGTTTGAAGTCGTGATGGAGCAGCCGTGAGTGGTCAAGGAGGAGGGCGAAGACTCAGCATGACTCCCGCATCAGCCTGAGCACGGGAGAAGCAGCGGTGGTGCCAGTCACCCAGACAGGAGAAACCAGGGAAGAGACAGGCAAGACAGTGCGTACCTGGTTACAGTTGGAAATGCTGTTCTGAAAGGGGAGCCCGGTGTTCTGAGAGTGGCGTCTGGGCTCTCAGCAAGGAAGGTTTCCCCAGGAAATAACCGTTTAAATTAGGAGCAGAGAGGGGCCTGGGCAGTGGTGCAGCAGGTAAAGCTACCACCTGCGACGCTGGCATCCCATGTGGGTGTCGGTTCATGTCCCGGCTGCTCCACTTCCAATCCAGCTCCCTGCTAATGTCCTGGGAAAGCAGTGGAGGATGGCCCAAGTGTGTGGGTCCCTGCACCCATGTGGGAGACCTGGAAGTAGCTCCTGGCTCCTGGTTTTGGCCTGACCCAGTCCTGGCCATTGCAGCCATCTGGAGAGTGAACCAGCAGGTGTAAGATTCTCATTTTCTCTCTCTCTCTCTCTCTGTCTCTCTGTCTCTCTATAATTCTTTCAAAATAAATAAATAAATAAATCTTTAAGGTCAGAGCAGAGGGAAGAGACAGAGTGCAGAAGACAAAGAGGCAGGGAGGGCCGAGTGTGCAAAGGCCCTGGGGGCAGTCTGACTGGCACTCATTCCAAGTCACTTTTTGAGCACCTCTACCCAATGTGGTACTGCCTGGCAGACAGACAGCAGCATGAACCACAGAGGAGAATGTGCAAGGAGGTCTGAGATGTCACGCAGGGCAGCCCACCCAGCCCTGCGCTGTCCAAGAAGCCTTCCCCAGGAGTTGATGTCATAGTTGGGTCTTGCAGGTTGCACAGAAGTTAACCAAGGGAAGACGCACTGCCGGGGGTCATGGAGGGCTGTCGTGGAGGCCTGAAGTGTGGAGCATGGGGCAGCCCTTGGGGAACATCAGATGGGGGGGTCATCTGGTCACAGGCCAGACCCTCGTGCCTTCTGAGCAGGGTGATGATAGGACTTGAAGCAGACAGGCTGTGGGGAGACTCTGGCAGGGTTGTGGATGGCACTGTGGAGTCTCCCAGACCCACCCCCAAGCCTGGAGGGCTGCTGCAAGGCCCCAAGGGCCCGTCGCGCCCCAAAACTCCCTCTGAGCCAAACCCTGGTGCCAGACCTGTTAACAACCCTGTGACAAGTGCCGCTGCTCATTCCTGACCTCACCCAGGCTCACGTCCCACAGTCACCCGCTTCAGAATTTACGCAACTCCTGCCTAACCGGTCACCCTGGTTTGCTCATCACCTTGACCGTGAGCTTCCACGGAGCCAAGCCACAGCCTCCGAACACAGAATCAAGTGCATGAACAGTTTCTTTGATTAACCAAGATGTCTTGGCTTTTCTCCTTTCTTGTTTTTTTTTTTTTTTTTAAATTTTTTTAAAGATTTACTTATTTATTTGAAAGGCAGAATGACAGAGGGAGAGAGAGAGGTCTTCCATCCACTGGTTCACTCCCCAAATGGTTGCAACAGCCAGGCCTGGCCTAAGCTGAAGCCAGGAGCCAGGAGCTTCATTTGGGTCTCCCATATGGGTGTAGGGACCCAGCTACTTGGTCCATCCTCCACTGCTTTCCCAGGCCATTAGCAGGGAGCTGGATGGGAAGTGGAGAAGCCTGGACTAGAATCAGTGTGGGATGCCAGTGTCACAAATGGTGGCTTAACCCACTGCGCCACAATGCTGGTCCTGTCTCCTTTCTTTTTTTAGTGACAACACATAGATTTTTATAATGTAGAACATTTGGAGAACATGGAAAACCAAAAGGTAGCAAAATCCCCCATGAAGACCATGACTGTTAGCATTTTGCTGGTTCCTTCCGGTGTTATCCATACATTTTGCATCATTGGCATCACCCCACAGAGAATGCCACTTGTCCCACTTATCATTTTAAATGTAATCATTTGTAATTTTTTAAAAATCTCATAAATTTTTAAAATCTTTATCTGTGGGTGTATCCCAATTTCCTGAGCCGGCCCCAGCTGGCAGCGCTGGGATGCGGCCCTCCCTCCCCCATCCCGCTGGAGACAGCCTCTGGACAACAGGCTTCTCCTCTGCTTCTTCTCCTCCCCAGTTCCAGGTCAGACGAGGAAAGCCCTTGGAGCCCTTGACTTTGACCCGCATAGTGACCCAGACTCCCGGGTGCTCTCATCACCGCTTCCCCAGCTCCCCTCCTCACCCAGTGTTGTTTCAAAAGATCATCCCCAGGTCCCTGTAAAGACAGTGCCTTGTCTAAAATCCCTCTGTGGTGAGATTGACCTCGTTGTCCAAACAGTTTGACAGGCGCTTGTATTTCTGTTGTGAGGCATTCATCCGCGTCCTCTAGGAAGTGGAGCCCAAGTGTTATTCTTATCAATTTGCATGAGCGCTCGAGATAGGGAGGGTATTTTTATCTCTGTGTCTCTTTCCTTTTTAGGTTGCATGAGCCCGAGAAGAACGCCAGAGAAATAACCCAGGTACAGTCCTTGGTGAGACACCCCTCCTGGGAAACTCGGTGGCGTGATGTCCTGCCATCAGCTGGTGCTGCACATCCGGTTCTAAATTAAGACACAGTCCCCAGGGCAGCAGGGTGGGGTTGGTGGAAGAGTCTAGGATTTCTCCTGCCCCTGTGTCCTCTGCCTGTCCCTGCCCTCCGCTCCAGCCTCAGGGTCTGTGGCAGCGTCCTTGACTCGGTACCAACTATCACACAACTCCAGGGGGCACCCTTCCCGTTCCCAGCGTGGCCTGTAGGAATGATGCCCTGGAGTCAGACTGCAGTCTCCCTTAGTGGGGATTGTGCCTTCCTGCCTCCAGGCACTTGCCCAGGCTAGCCCCTCCACTAGCACCACCGTACCTGGCTCACCCCTACCTCCTTGTGTCCCTGCTCTGAGTTAGAACAGCCCAGCCCAGCCTGCCGGGCGGGGCCTCTTTAGGCTTTGCTAAGGGAAGTCCCTACAGCATCATTAACCTCTTCAGCTGGCTGTTTCTCCTTCACATGGCGTGGGCCGAGCAGATCTTGCAGGGGTGTGGTTGGCCTGACACTCAGACCTCGGATGCAGAGGGCTCCTTGCCTCTTGTAAAGAAACAGGCCCTGCTCTGAACCTGGCATCCAGACAGCACTGGCTGTCCTTGGCATTTGCCTTGCAATTGTCATTGTTTCCACTGGGCTGAAAGTGGGGAGCTGGTGAGAGGTCCCTGTGGGTATTTGAGGGTGTCTGTGGGTGTGTGCAGGCATCTGTAGGCTGCAACATCTTGCTTGCTTGCTCTCCTGACCCACTGCAGCACCCCAGCGGCCCTGGGCATAAGCCTGGGTCATAATTAGGACAAACAAGACAGCTTCTAGTCCTGGCAGAGGTAGGCCTTCTCCCTGGTTATTTGACCTGTGGACTTCCTTCTGGGACCTTCTGGGGAAAGGGTGATGATGAGAAGAGTTGCTCACTGAAATCTGTAAAAGTCCACCTTCAGCAGAGACCTGCTGAGCACCACTAAGCTCCAGGGCCTAGGCAGCAAGCAGGAGAGGTACAACCTATTCCTGGGGGACTGGTGGCCTTGGTCCTCGTGTCCCAGTGCCAGGTGTCAGTCCCCACCAGGGAGGCCCCGTGCTCTGTCCACGGCACTTCCCAGACAGGAGTTTGTGCACGCGTGCCGGACTCAGGAGGGCGGAGCCAGGCAGGAAGACTGCAGCTGCAGAGGTGACTAGGCTTTGGGAGATGTTGACTGACACATGTCGTCTGCTCAGGTCTCAGTTTCTTCACCTGTAAAGTGGGGTCAGTGCTTCTCCCAGGCAGGGCTGTGGTAAGGCCTGGGTGAGTGTGGGGTGCAGTTACTAGCTTGTGACAACTAGGAGGTGGCGCCACCGCACACATGCCAGGTGCAGAAGCAGCTTCCAGGGGGCTCTTGCAGGTGACACGGTTAACAGGGACATTCCAGGGTTTGCTACGTGGTCAGGGCTGCTAATGGCTACTGAATACAGCGTGGTCCGTGCCAGGCCCTGCTCTCAGTGTTCTGACTGGGTCTTCTCATTTGATCCTCAGAGCAGCCCTGGTGATAGGTACTGTCATTATCCCCACTTGACTGGTGGGGAGACAGAGACCCAGAGAGGTTAAATGAACTGCCCAAAAGCTCTCAGAGAACCCATGATCACCCCCTGCTGACCAGTGGTCTCAGTCTCCCATGGAGAGTAGGTGGTCCCTATTCTGTCTCCTCAAGCCCCACATTCACCTTGAATGAGGCTGAAATGGTTGCCTGCCTTTTTTCATTCCTTCCTTCCTTGTACCTATCCATCCATCCATCCATTCATCCATCCACACATAAATCCACTCATCTATCCATACATGCATTCATTCAATATCCACTCATCCATCCATCCATCTTCATCTATCCACACATCCATCCACCTACCCATCCATCCCATCCACCTGCCCACCCGTTCATCCACTCAACATGGATCCATCCATACTCACATCCATCTACTATCCCTCCCTCCCTCCCTCCATCCAACATGGATCCAGCGGCTTCTATGCCAGCTTTGGTTTCTGCATCATAACAAGAGCACAGTGAATATTTGTTGAATAAATGAGTAACTGGGAGATCAGCCTCTGAGTATGCAGCCAGCAGGAGTGCGGGCTGGGCCAGGTCTCAGGATGAAGAGATGCTTGAGCCGAAATCGACCAAGATTGGGAATACATCCAAGGAGCAGGAGGGGGCAGGCGCTCTGGACAGAGGGACAAACGCAGGAAAGAGAGACGAGAACTGCAGGTGCCTGTGGCTGGGAGGAGGGAGAAGGTGACCACAGGGGTGTTTCCAGGGTGTGTGAGGAGGAAAGCAGAGTGGAAGAAGTGAGGCTGGAGGCAGGAAATATTTGATGCAAAGAGAGGGAGCCTGAGTTGGAGCCAAACCTGTAGTGGCCAGGAGGAGACCAACATCAAGGCTTGGCGCCTGGTTGATGGTGAGGGCCCTCTCTTTCAGATCCAAGATAGCAATGACATCAATGACATCACGTACGCAGACCTCAACCTGCCCAAGGGGAAGAAGGCCGCCCCACGGGCTGCCGAGCCCAACAACCACACAGAGTACGCCAGCATTCAGATTGGTCCTCCGCCTGCCACTGAGGACACCCTCACCTACGCCGACCTGGACATGGTGCATCTCAACCGCGCCCCCAAGCAGCCAACCCCCAAGCCCGAGCCATCCTTCTCTGAGTACGCCAGTGTCCAGGTGCAGAGGAAGTGAATGGGACTTCCGTCCGCTCGAGGGCCTGTCCCCGAGAGCTTTCTTGTCCCGCATGGAGCAGCTGTGATGGGGACATCCAGCCCAGTTCCCAGAGGCGAGGCCCTGGGATCCAGGGCCAGGGTGGCTCCTCTGTCCCCAGCCCCCTTGGCTCTCCAACACGTCCGGGGCTGCCACGGCCCCACTCCTGGCCACACACCTGGAGGCTGGTGTTGCTGAACCAGCCAGGAAACTGACCAGAGCTGCCTGGAGCCCACGCACTCTGGTGCCTCCGTCCACCCAGCGTTTGGGTCTGAGTCATGGGTGAGGACCCTGGACTGCCTCCTGCGTCTTGGGAAGCCTGATCTTCCAGGGTGAGGAAGACGAAACCCCACTTCCCACCGCCACCACCCCCAGCGGGGGCTCTGGGGAAATCTTTCCCTTTAGATCACACGGCCCCACCCATGGAGAGGCTGGAACGAGACTTGGTGAGGTTGCTGCCAACACACCTGGCTCCCCTGGGTCCCTGGGCTGCTGAGCCACATGCCCTGGGGGGAGGAGGGGACCCTTGAGGATCACCCCAGCCCCCTAAAGGACCTCAAGACAAAACCCCCCTCTTCCTGGGGCTCCTCCTCACCTCCTTGGGGACCCGTGGTCCCACCCCTCCTCTCTAGACCCGAGCTTGCTCCTGCCAGCTAGCACTAACTCAGCAACATCTCGCTAGGGACGCCTGTAAATTACTGAGAAATGTGAAACGTGCAATTTTGAACCTGAGCTGTTAGAAAACTTGATCTGTGCTGTTTCGTTTTGTTTTTTTTTTTTTTTTTCCTTTCTTTCTTAAAACAGGAGCAGCGTTCTCTTGGCTCTTTGTCATGTGCTGAAGTCCATGGTTGGGTCTTGTGACGTCTGAGGTGTAACCGTTTGTTGTCCTGGAAGGGTTTTCTGACAGCAGAGAAACGGAGCACCTCCCAAGCGCCAGAGCCCCGGGCAGCAGGCGGAAGCGCTGGCGTGGCTGCTCCGTGGACTTGGCCGTGACCGGGCCGAGCCACGTGGCTGGTGCTGCTGCCTTCTGTGGCCCCACTGTGGTCAATCCAGTCGGCCCAGAGGGTGTCCAGACCACCTCTGTGACGGTGCAGTCTTGGCCAGAGCTGTTGCCCCAGTCTGTTCCCCTGTGGAGAGGGGAGAGGGACATTGCTGCCCTCCTGGCCATCTCTCACATGCACTTTAGGGACACAGGCTGGCTGTCTGCCCCTCTCCCCCAGCACCTTCCCTTTACTGCTCTCCGAGTGGATTCCTAAAGGCGGAATCTTCCATGTCTGCTCTCAAACCCTGTAGGGATCAAACTGGAGTAGATCCTGGCCACCCCCAGGACGGTGCTGCTGAGAGCCGGGGCCGAGCCATGTCCAAGGAGGTGGGGCAGAGGCCACGCCCTCTCACCTACTGGCCCTGCCCATTGGGTGTGAGGCCTGGCTGGGCCCAGAGCACGCAGTGTTGGCCCCGTTCATTCGGTCTTAGATGCTAAGGTTCACAGCCGCTGCAGCGGGATGCCCAGGATTCTGGGCTCAGGCTGTCAGAGCGAGAAGCCGAAGCTGCCCTGTCCGCTCCTGCAGGTGCTACGGGTGGCGCACAGCACAGACCCAGCTCATGGGGGAGGCGGGGGTGGTCTGGTGTGTGCCGAGCCGACAGGTCATGTGGGCAGCTTCTGCTCACACAGGCCAGAGCTTGGTGGCCTCAAGTAGCCACGGGGGCCCAGGCACCTGCTTAGGCCATTTCCAGCCTCCACAGAGTTGGCTGTTTAAACTGTCTTCTTCCTCCTTCCTGCCTATAGACAGCACACAGGTGTACACACGCAGACAGGATTTTCTGGGAATGTTTTCTTGGTGCCATTTTCATTTTGTATAATTTTAATTTTCGGAAGAGGAAGGAAGGGAAGGAGGTCGAGGAAGACGGATGGCCATAGCTTCCGCCTAGCAGCCTGGCCGTGCCCCACACCTTGTGTATGGAACCCCAGGAAAAGGAAGAGACTGGAAGAGCGCTGCGGAAGAAGCGTGGTTTTGGGAGTTTATTTTGAGACCGCTGGGAAGGAAACAGGCCCCGTTTTGTATATAGTTGCAACTTAAACTTTTTGGCTTGCAAAATATTTTTGTAATAAAGATTTCTGGGTAACAGGGACCCGTTCGGGTGTGCAGCGTCATTCTTGTTGTGTGTCTGGAGGCTTCCTTGGCGTCTGGCTGCCCACACCTATCCCCTGAGACCCTGGGAAAAGAGCAGATGTGGCCCCAGGGCTGGGACCTGTCTCAGTATGGGGTCCCCTCCTCTAGGTGTTTATGGTAGTAAAACTTTGGTTTCCCCCACTTCAGAGGGAGTTGATGCAAACATCCAGGCAAACAGCCAAGTTTGGATCCGGCTCTGCCACTCTGTGGCTGTGGGAATGCGGGCCCCTCCTCTGCATGGTGGAACAGCACCGCCCCCTGGTGCAGTCCCTGTGGACCCTCGGCCCCATGCTTGGCACGTGGCAGGCTCTCAGTGAGCCGGGGGGCTCCCCTTCCTGCTCTCACCCTGCACAGCTGGCCCTGGAGGCGCCTCACCCTCCTGGAGCCCCACTTCCCTCCTCCACCGAGTGCTCATCCCTGCTGGATGAGTATGTCAAGTGCTGGTGACAGTAGGTGCTCAATAAATGTGAGTGCCCTGCCCCTTCTCCAGGAGCGTCTTCCTAGTATTGACAGTTATGTAATCATGTTCATGTCCCCATAGCTTTTCTTAGTATCTGTGCATCAGCACTTGACATGGACTGACTGTGTTAAACTTTAGAACCTGATGTGGTCAGTAATGTTGACCCCATTTAACAAACAAGGCACAGAGAAGTGGTGTGACTTACACGGGGTCACACAGCCAATGAGTGATGTTGCTGACACTCGAACTCGCTGTCTGACTTGGGTGCCTGATGCCCACCTGGTGAGCTAATGGTCCACACACCATGCACAGAGCACCAGCTGCGAAGTCAACAGCAAGAGCCAGGGCAGGTGACAAGCCAAGTGCTTTATTGACTCATTGCCTTCATTAACTCATCCTCCCAGCCATCATGAGAAGTCTGAGCTCTGATTCTGCATGGTTTACAGAGGAGCAAGCAGAAACGGAGAAGTTGTGTCCCCAGTGTCCTGTGACAGAACCAGGGTTTGAAACCAGGAAGTCTGCCTGTCCTTCCTGCCTCGTTTACTTTTCCCAACTACTGGAGGGCAGTGGTTGTGCCCATTTTGCAGAGAAGGAAAGTTGAGGCTCAGGAAGCACATAGGACATAGCCTAGTCTCACCCAGCAAATCCTCAGTCAGGTTGGCCGGGGCTCAGTTTAGATGCACAAGGCCAGGGAACCGCCTTTGCCCTCGGCCTGGTGCACGTGGTCAGAGGCCTCTGAGCCAAGGAGCCTCCTCTTGGAGCGCAAGGCTGTGACGGAGCCCTCGGCCTGAGGGAAGCTGCGAAGTCTGAGTGCACGTGCAGGGCTGGGGTTGCTGTAGGCTGTGTGGGCCGGGCAGTGCCTTCTGCATTCTGGGAAAGTGGGGGCTGACGGACTGGACTTCGTGTCCAGCCGAGGAGATGCGGGGTGCATTTATCAGCACCTGGGCCTCACCTCACAGCCCGGATCTCCAGGGCTGGAGGTCGGCAGGCACAATGGAAGAAGGTGGGAGCCAAGAGGCCCTTGGGCTGTGTGCCAGGGAATCAAGGGCAACCTTGATCGGGCACCTCCTTGAAGTGTCCCCTGTGCAGGGGACAGTGAGCCTGCCCCCCCTCCACGAGGGCAGCCCAGGGGACAGTGAGCCTGCCCCCCCTCCACGAGGACAGCCCAGGGGACAGTGAGCCTGCCCCCCCCACTAATTCAGCCCAGAGGCCCACCCACTTCCCCGGGAGTGTCAGGACGTCTCCCTTCCTGGCCCCTCCTGGCCCCCGGCTTCCAATGCCCAGCCATCACAGCCCCTGTGGCTTCTAGTACATTCCCAACAGGCAGGATTTGCTTGAGGTTCATTTGCCTTTTTGCAGGGCACACGCCAGACCCCCTCTGCTCTCTGCACAAACATCGATTATTCAGTGTCAACTCGCTGCAGCCTCTCCAGACCTGTGAGGTGCGGTGACGGCTCCCACTTCAGGAAGAAATGAGCGCACACAGACGAAGCATCTCACTCGGAGGCTGCCAGCCAGGAAGCGATGTCACTGTGGATGGGGCATGGGCCCTGCAGGGAGTGGTGCAGGGACAGCGGGAGCCACGGATGGACGGACGGACAGAGAGACAGACAGTGAGGGTTCAGGTTGTACTGGGCTCGGTCTGCAGCTGGAAACAGCAGGTGTGTGGTCTCACTACCAGAGAGTCAGAGGCGGAGCCTGTGCAGCAGCCCGCCTCCTGAGATGCCCAAGGGCCTCCCCCAGTGCCCCCTTCCCCACTTCACTGACCTGGACTGTGCTCTGTTTGCTGAGCATAGAATGATGACATTGATGATATCTTTTATTTACAAGGCAGAGTTAGACAGAGATATCTATCTATCTATCTATCTATCTATCTATCTATCTATCTGCTGGTTCACTCCCAAAATGACTACAATGACAGGGGCTAGGCCAGACCAAAGCCAGGAGCCAGGAGCTTCTTCCGGATCCCCCATGTGGGTGCAAGGGCCTGAGCACTTGGGTCATTTTCTGCTGCTTTCTCAAGTGCATTAGCAGGGAGCTGGATCCAAAGTGGGGCAGCTGGGACTAGCAGTGGTGCCCACATGGGATGCTGGGACTGCAGGCCATGGCGCCCCGCAGCCTTCAATGCCTGCCCCATCTGACACTCTTGAAGAGGGTGTCAATGTCTTTTCTTAGGCTACCAAATTCAGCCCAGGGCCTGGCCCAGGCAAGGGGCCTGAGGAGCTGTGAGACGGTTTGAGAGCCAGTTCCTGGGGACTGCTGATCCCCGCCTCGGCAGCAGCCTTGGTACCAGACCGGGCCTGAGGCCAGGCAGCTGCAGGGGTGCCTGCCTTCGATCTGCTGTCCCGGCATCTGCGCCCCGACATGGGGAAGCAGCTGTACCACACAGCCCCTGCCCTATGACCCCAGCCAAACGGCCCACTCTGAGCCTCTGCTTTCTCACACTTGTACAGCCACACACTTCCCCAGGGTCCAGGGAGAATCAGCAAGCAAACACACTTCAGACTCGGCAGCAGTGGGGTACACACAGTGCTCACAACACACACACACATTTGTACATACACACATGCATGCGTACACCCACACCTACACACACTTGTACATACACGCTCATACATACACATTTGCACACCCCCCACATGCTCATAGACCCTCACACACACACTTGCACACACACATGCTTGTCCACACACTTACACACCCATGTACACATTTGTGCACTGACACACTGTAAGCACACACACTACACACCTAACATACAGCCTTGCACCTACACACACACTCGTTCACCTCTATGCACACTCGCACTCATTCACACCCACGTCCTCTCTCGCACCCCAAGGCCAGGGTGCCAGAGGAGCTGTACAGTGTGAGTGGGGGTCTCCTCTCCCAGCTGTAGTCGCTCTGCCACGTCCTCCCTCCCTCTTCAACCTGAAATTGCTCTCTCTTCCCACCTCCTGGGAGTCCAGCACCACAGCCTGGTTTTCGGGGTGCACTTCCAGGGCGTTCCCTGCAGCTCCCCAGCCCCAGCTGTCCTCCAGCCAGGCTGTTCTTGTCCCACCAAGTCCTGGGTGGAGCCCCCTTTGCCTGCCCTGCCCCCACAGTGAGTCACTTCCCTGTGACCAGTGCCCCCACACCCCCAGCTACATAGACCACAATTCCCACTCTCAACTGGAATTTCATGTCCTATCTTTAGGACCCAGCCCCCAGGACAAGAGAGGCTAAAGCCCACCACGTACCAGACAAGGGCCCAAGCACTTGAACTCCTTATTTGGAGCAACCGTTCCCCTTCTTTACAGATGTGGCCATGATAGGTCCATTCCACAGATGAGAAAACTAAGGCCCAGAAAATCAAACAGATAAATAAGCTTGAGATCACAATGGTTGCTCCCACGGGGATCCTGGCCTGTGCAAAATTCTGAGGACACAATGCTGACACCATGAGCTCCTGGGGACGGAGAGCGCCAAGGCTCCCACAGCGGCAGGCAGGGACGGGAAAGGCAACACATGACCCACGTGGGCGGAGCCCGGTGACGAGCCAGCCAGCGGGACCGCCAGCTGGCTCCGAGTCTAAGACAGCATTTACAGGCTCTCAGCAAAGGACTGCGAGAATGAAATTTTTAGGTTAGATATAAAACTGGCAAATGTTCTGCAAGGCACTAAAACCATACCTTCGGAGTTATCTTCTCTGCCAGAGAAAAGTCGATTACCCTCTACCAGGCACAGAAATCCACAAATTAGTATGTTCTTCGGCTGGCTTTCTAAAATCCAGGCTATTAATGAAATAGCCAAGACAGTCTCGGGGGTTCTCCTCTACAGAATTAACGAATCTTCTACTGAGTCTTTCAAACTACACCCCGGCATGACAATGAGAGGAAATACCACCTGTTACTGCGCTGCTTCCAAGTCTCAGACACTTTTTCTTTTTTCTTTTCTTTTTCTTTTTCTTTTTGACAGGCAGAGTGGACAGTGAGAGAGAGAGACAGAGAGAAAGGTCTTCCTTTGCTGTTGGTTCACCCTCCAATGGCCGCTGCGGCCGGCGCACCGCGCTGATCCGATGGCAGGAGCCAGGTGCTTCTCCTGGTCTCCCATGGAGTGCAGGGCCCAAGGACTTGGGCCATCCTCCACTGCACTCCCGGGCCACAGCAGAGAGCTGGCCTGGAAGAGGAGCAACCGGGACAGAATCCGGCGCTCCAACTGACCAGGACTAGAACCCGGTGTGCCGGCGCCGCAGGCGGAGGATTAGCCTAGTGAGCTGCGGCACCAGCCTCAGACACTTTTTCTGATTCGGACAGGTACAGAGGCCTTGCTCAGCCTGCACGGGACAGAGAAGGCTTCCTAAGGAAATCCCTCGGCTGAGATCCAAGGGGTGCTGTAAAGGGAGCGTAGAGGAGCCAGGGGCCAGGCAGAGGCCTCCCTGTGTGAGCCGGCCCTGCACCAGCGACACCCGGCTCCTGGCAGTCCAAAATGAGCCACCGGGCCTTTGCACACTGCCACTC